AACCCCCCCCCCCCGGAGTTCAGCCGACGTCTGGGTCTTCCCGGCGGGAGTCAGGGTGCAGAGTGACCGGGCCGCTTTCTGAGCCCAAAGGCTGCTAGATCTCCCCGCAGCTACCGCTCTTGAGAGAAACAAACACTTTTAAACCAGGAGAGAGTCTACTCAGCTCACTGTCTCCCCCACACCTTCCCGTTCTGTGATGGTGGCCCAGGCAGGTCTACGTCCTTCTGCCTCCCACACAGCTCCCCACAAGTCAGGGTGCAGAGTGACCGGGCCGCTTTCTGAGCCCAAAGGCTGCTAGATCTCCCCGCAGCTACCGCTCTTGAGAGAAACAAACACTTTTAAACCAGGAGAGAGTCTACTCAGCTCACTGTCTCCCCCACACCTTCCCGTTCTGTGATGGTGGCCCAGGCAGGTCTACGTCCTTCTGCCTCCCACACAGCTCCCCACAAGTTCTGGGTGTCCTGTTCTCTTTAGCCAGGAAAGAGGGACTCTCACACCATCTAGCCGGCGTTCCTTTGTTCTTGGCAGTTCCTGGGCTTTTGACCTTGCTTGTCAAACCAGGCTCCTAAAAGCAAGTGGTTCCTCCGTTGTCCTGTAACAGCCCTCGAGTGTTTGGTGAGGGATGCTCGTCTTGAGCTAGTTTTTTACCTTCCTGCCTGGTTTTCCCGATAATTCCATTAAACTAAAGCACTGTACGAATACAGCAAAGTAGATTAATTACTAGGGCACGGTTTTCCTGCCTTATGACAGGGCAGCTCTGCATCTGAGGCAAAGTGCATTGTAGTTTCATCTGTAGTAAAGAGTCTTCCCGGACAAACCTTCCATATTCAGCTAACTCAGGGTTAACCTCTTTTGTTGTTTGTGTATCTTCTAATAAATCTCCTGTAGTTTGCAGGGAATTTTCATGCTCACTTTCAGCAAGGGGGCCTGCTGAGTGAATCGGGAGGGAATATAGACAGGGAAAAATAAAACAGGCCAAATTCCCTTCACTTCACAACTGGCTTGCCCAAGCTCAGTGGTTTGACTCATCAAATCTCACCAGCTTTGCTCCGTTGGCTGGTGAGCTCCTTGCTCAGGAGGTGTCTAGTTTGAGCTTAGAAACTACGCTTCAGACGCGTGCGCTCTGGGGGTTAACCAGGACAGCTGTGCCAGGCTGACTCCTCAGTGAGACCCCGGCCACATGTGCCGCCTGCCTCAGTGGCTCCTGGCTGGCAGCTGAAGTAAGCGGAAGTCAGTGTGGGGGGAGGAAAGAGAGTGTGTGTGGAGGGGGGGGGCTGTAGGGTGTAGCGCAGGGGTGGGGGACAAACAGCTGGATCTGGCCCCCAAGGCTCCTGCACCCACCCACAGCCCAAGCCCTGTGCCTGACAGCCCCCTCCCAGACACTGTACCCCACATTTTTGACTCCACCCCAGAGCACAAAATCTACTAGCCTGGGAGCCCCGGGCTCTGGTGTGTGAGGGGAACACAGGGAGCGTCTTTCTGCTCGGCCGGGGGCCACGGCAGGGAGGGGCCTGTTTTTATGCTTCTCACTTTTGTGCTGCCCCCGCTGATTTTTTTTTCTGTGGGTCAGCAGCTCCCGACCCACAAAAGGTTCCCCAGCCCTGGTGTAGCATCTCCTGTGCTGCACGGCCCCTTTGTTCCTGGGGGAGCCTGCTGGTGCCAGGACAGAGGGCGCACGCCTGGTTCCTGCCAGCAGAGGGAGCCCGCGTGCTTCCATTGAGACGAAATTGGCTCCCCCACTCCAGCCCCTGTTGCCTTTAGCCTGCCCCATTCCAGCATCAGTCCCAGGTGCCTGCCCCGTCCCAGCTGCAGAGGGGTCTGTCTGCCCCACTCCGCTAGGGGGTGACTTGGCAGGAGGCCGGGCAGTCGGGTTCCTTGTGGTGGGAGACAAGCTGCTGGGAGGGGCCCTTCCCCTGAGGATGCTGATGGGCTGTATTATGCGAATCCCTTGCTAGAGTCCAAGTGTGGCTGCCTCATACCTCCTTGGCCCTGGAAATCACTGTTGCCTGCAGCCTGTGGGCTAAAATCTGAGGCAATCCAAGGGCCAGTGTGTGAATGCCGGGCCTGGGAATGTCGGGCTACGTGGGTCTGGTCCGGTTTCTGTGGTGTCAAAAGCTGAGCTCCCCAGACCCTCTCTCCCCTGAAATGGGGGTGAGCGTAGGTCCCCGGCGGAGGGGGCGGCAGGGTGGAGAGGCAGCAGCCGCTGGGTGGGTGGCAGGTAAAAGCTTCCGGCCGCTAAATGTTGTTAATCGCTCTCCTGGTCCAGCTCTGGCCCCGCGCCCTCGGCCCTTTTCATGTCATCCTCGTGGGCTCACACGTGGCTGCTGCCATGGCATTTGCACTGCCAGGCTAGTCCCTTGGCGCGTGGCCTTGTCTCTCCGGGGGAAGGGGGGGTCTGCCTGTGGGGAGCTGGGTCCGTACAGACACAAATTAACGGTGTCTGTCATGATAGACAAGCCCAGGGGAGAGAATATCTTGTATGGGACCAACCTCTGCTGGTGAACGAGACCCTCTTGGAAGCTCCGTTGGGCCTGTCCTCCCAGGAGGAGGCGACGGAGCAGCTCTGGAATATTATTTTTGATTCCATGTTAAGTGGTGTGACTAGATTGCAGTACATTTTGGCCTTAATAGGTTGTCCTAACTGTACGTTTTAAAGGGGGTTATTTTTAGAAAGAAAAAAGCCCTGAGGTAAAACAGCCTTCGTTATTTAAATGAAGAACATTCCCCACTTTTTAATTAAAAATGGATATATTTTTTTTTTAGCTCCCTGGGTGTGGGTAAGGCGGCACATCACAGGCTCTTATGCTCTGGGCTGGCTGCTTGGGTTGAGATGTTGTGTGGGCTGAATGCTGTTGGGAGGAGAATGGCCGGGTGGCGTTTAGGGAGCTATGCTACGTCTCCTCCTACCTACAGGGCAGCCGAAAGGACAAAGGCTGGTGGGGGACGAACTGGCTGAGGCTGCACGTTCACAAGAAACCGGGCTGCCTAGAGAACTTGCATGCAGCATGATCAGGCTGCTAGAGGGGGGGCTGGGCTTGGCTGCTCTACCCAGTGCTGTGCTCTGACTCTACCGGGGGGCTGCAGAAGCCCCTGCAGGAGGTAGTGTGGCTTTCAGGGGCCATTTTCTGCTTTGTTTTTCCTCTGCCCTGTTCTGCTCAGAACAGGCCCCGGAGCCTGTCTCTGCGAAGCCAGCGCCGCGCTGTGAGGACCTGCCTTCAGAGTTCTCCCCCTGTGGAAAAGCAGCGACACCTCGGCTTTCCTTGCAGGGGCTGGCGTCGGAACGGTGGGGGGGCAGTGGGGGAGCAGAGAGGAAGGACCTCGTCAGGCTCTGGAACACCGGGAATGGCTAAGCTAACTTTTGTCTGTCCCGCCTGGTGTCTCCAAGGCCCGCGTAGGAAGCGCACGGGGTGGGGATGGAGCCTGGGAAGCAGATGCAGGCATTCCAGACCTGCCCGAGGGAGAGCCCTGAGTCATGCCGCTGCCTTTCCAAAGGCTGAAGATCAGCACGTTCTGGGAGAGAACCTCTCTTCTGCAAGATTTGGAATGGGATACTTCTTCCAGGGTGTAAGCCGGTGATGGCTCAGGTTCCTCGGAAGCGTCTCGCGGTGTCAGCGTCGTCAGGGTTACTATCTGTGGTTCAGTTTTGGGAGGCCTTGACCCAGGTCGTTCTGCCCTGGAGGGCAGCCTTGTCAGAAAGCCCTGCTGCCTGGTGATCTGCCCGGCACCGTCGGTTAAGCCTGTCTCTGCAAGTCAGTTCCCTTGCCGTGCGGCGTGTGGTGCTTTTACCCAGGCCTTGCACTAAGTGCTATGGGGATTGGTGAGCTGTGACACGCCCCACCAGCTCTTCACCCCATACGAGTGGTGCCATGTATAGAGCTGCGGGGGGTCAGACCTTTATGATCTCCCTTAGCTGGGCTCTGTCTGCCAGTCGGTCGCATCCCCGTGTGCCGGGAGCTGAAACAAAGGGAACAGCCACAGGGTGGGCAGGCAGCCGAAAGGACTGTCCACCACATGGCCAAGTCTCCAAACACTGGGGTGGGTTTGCTTTGGATTATGCCGGAGCAATAACTGCCAAGCGGTGGGATGTTTGGGACACGGTGCCTCTGCTGAGACAGTCACCCGGGGAGAGGAAATAGTTGCTCCCTGTGCTTTATCCCACTGATGTGGGGTTGGGGGGGTTGCCCACGGAAGTACTCAGGGGGATCCACACTCTACAGCTTTGGGTGTCCTCGGGGCCCACAAAAGGTAGATGTCGGCATTGATGCCCCATCTCCATTGTCCAACCCCCCCCTCCGCCCCCCCAAAGTCAGGTGCTTTGCCAAAATGTAATGCATTTTTACTGGTGCC